CCTGCTGGGACCTGAAGTAGAATTTGATTGATCCTCTAATCAGTAATAGTGAATCCATATTTAGTGAAGGATATTTGACAATTGTTACCAACGGCTAGCTTATAGGCAAGAATGAGGTTGGGCGGTAGATGGGGAGAATTTAGTAGGGTGGCGAGGTGGAGCTTACAGTAAGGGGTGGGCAGCAACCCTTCATCACCAAGGATCACTTGTTCATGGCCTCTATAAGAGGATGGTTGTTGTAGGTTGTCGTAATTGGCAGCGAGGTAAGTTGTAGTGCCAGAGTCGAGAATCCATTCATTGGATCTCTAATTTTGAGTGGTGAAAAGAATGGTCTCTGCCTTGTTTGATGGGAAGGGTCAAAATTTGTTCTATGTCAACATTGAAGGGTTGTGTGCCCATGTTTACTACGGATTTGGCGCGTTATGTTAGAATTGTGGAGCGACTTCCCCTATCGTTGGTGTTTGCGTTGCCTCCCCAGAGATAGGGATTTGAGTTTGATAGGTCACAACCGCTAAATGAGGTTTGACCACCTCTGATTGCGGTGTGAAGCACCATAACTGTTCTCTTTGGTCATTTCGGCATTAATGTGTACTTCCTCACTGCACAATACACAATGAGGAGTACAGATTGTCTAATTTGATGGAGTCAAATCTAGTTCGAATTGAGGTTTTGAAGGATTGGTAGGAGCGAGGGAGGCCATTGAGACTATAGAGGATGATGTCCTCATTGTCCACACTAACACCGGTGGTAGCTATATTGTTGATTAGTGTCTTTATCTCGAGTAGATAATGATTCATGGAGTTTTTCAGGGAGAGGTGTAGTGTATTTTTCAATTGGATAACCCTTTGTCGATTTGTGGATTGGAAACGCTTAGCTAGGGAATCAATATTTTAGCTGTAGAATGCAGATTTAGAATGTAGAGTAGTATGGATGGGGAGATGGTGGAGGATATGGGAGCCTAGAGATTTTGATCGGTCAGGTGCCAGACTTGATTTTGAGAGTTAGGAGAAGATTTACCATCTTGATTTGGAAGATGAGGTGACGGGCAAAGGAATGATCCGTCGAAGAAGGCTTTGAAACCGTTGGCCTTTAACAGTTTCAAGATTTGGGAGCGCCATGTGGAGAATTTCTCTGCAGTGAGCTGAATGTTTGCTATGGAGCAAATGTTGGGCATGAGGAACTTGAGGGGGGAAGGGATTGTAATCTGTCATGGTGGAGAGATGAGGAGCCGTGATCCTATTGGCAGGAGATGCGGACATTGGGTAGATGTGGTAGAGAAGGGGAGGAAGATAGAATAGGAAAGTGCTGGCTCTGATACCAACATCAGTGAAGATAACAAGTCAATATTATATAGAATACAGGAACTAGGGAAGATGATTCAGATCGGATAGCTGTAGGGGAGGACCACATCCGTGGTTAAGGTGGCAGAAAGAAGTGATTCCATACAGTGAGGATAGGCACGGGTTGTTGATATATACATAAAGAGCTCGTACATATGCATAAATTCATAAAATGTGACATTCTATAATGTTCATTTGGCAGATCTTGTGCTTCATGAAATTACAAAATATAAGTTCCTCGTATGTGGTGAAGCAAATTCGACAACACTGAGTACGCATCATCAAGCCAGAGATAATAATATGTTACAATTCATAATAGCATTATAAATGCAAAATTCTCAGATGATCACATGCAGCATCAACCTGGGACCCAAATGTGGCAAAAAAAATTGGGAATTTTACACACATAGAGCACAATTCTTATGCATTTGCATATCTCACACCTATACTTCCATATTTTTTTTGTGTGACAATGGCATTAAAACAATATGATTGAAATAAAAGGCATAGCAACCACGGAACATTAAATACTTCCATATTTTTTCACTCACGAGAGCCAATCTTGGTGGCCGAATGCCCAGCCGCTCCTCAGATCTCATCCGATCCATCCGCCGTCGACCTTCCTCCATCCTCTTCAAAATATCGGTCGGACGGAATCGGATGGCGGCGCCGAACTGCCTCCTCCTCGGCGAGCCACCGCCTGGGACCAACCGCCGTCCAGATACCTCGAGGGCGTCCATTAAGTTCAGCTGAGCAGAAACCAACCAAACTACCATCATCGCCACCATCGTCACCCCGAACCAAAACCAGTGCGTATGCCACTGCGTCCCTTTTCGCGGTCGGGCCCTTCGTTCTATCTGCCAAGCCGAGCTGGCCATGCTCCCGCCGGAGGTAGGGTTACAGCACGCGTCGGCCTGAGCCGGCCGCCGCGGAAAGAGCTTCCGCATTCTCGCTCGCTTCTCTTGGAGAAATCCAGATCTGGGCCGAAGTATAGAAAGAGGAGTGGGGTTAATGATTGGAGGGGGATGGGAGCGAACAACGAATTATTGCATGGATAATATATATATAACCCTCGTTTAACCATAAAATAGGAAGTGTTTTATTTTATTTAATTTTTTTAGATCTTTAAAAGAGAATATCATTCAGATATTTTAAAGGTGATGTGATGAATATAAATGTATTTTATAAAAAATTATAAGTTTCTACTATGTGAAAAAACAATTTTATGTTTTATAGTTATCTATGTAAAATCATTATTTATTAATATTTTTTAAGTCCAAAATAATTAATAATTAATTGTTCCATACAAAACTATTATTTGATTGAAATAATATTTAATATTTAGTTTTTATTTAATTATTCGTTCATTTATTTACTTAAAAAAATTTGTTAAGAGCTAATTTTGATCCATCGTATTAAAATGTTGTTATACTTTTATATGATAGATTGTTGGTTTTAAAAAATTATTTTTCACGTACTTGGTTGAAGGTGTTTCACTTATTCTACACTTTTTTAAGGGCTCTTTTGAAGGAGTTTAGTGGTTCAGCAAAGCTCATTTAAAAACTACTTCTACGGAACAAATAATGTCATCTGTGATCTAAAATAATGAAAATTTATTGTTATGTCGAAATAATTTCAGAAGACGTATAAATCCAAGTGTATGCGTTGCTATTACGAAACAAAGTTTTATCGTCTTCTCTAACCAGGCTTAAATGAGTTCATTTTCTTATAATTGTGTTAGATATCAATTCAAATACATATCATGAATCTTTCTTTCATTTTATTAGAAATTTAATATGTAATTTGAGAACTTTTTATGAGTAAACTAGCATGTTTAATTATCCATTGACTCAATAAAAGAATCTATGATTGACATTACTTAATGAGTTATAATTACTATTTTATTACAACAATGATTTGGTCTAAATAATAAACAATTTTTATCATTAACTAGGTGTGGATAGCAAGGAAAATTTCATGAGACCATGATATAATTACTGCTCGAGTAAATTTTGATGATTTTATTATTATTTTTATAATCGATCTAAATTTTCATAATCAACGAAGATAATCAATCTAATATGACCAAGAAAAAACTTGTCCATAATAACATTTGCATCATCTAATGGGACCTCGTTGACTTATAATTAATGTTATCTCAATGAGTATTTTTTGGGTCGATCACCGAAATGAGGTCAACGACCTCAGGCTGCGTGACTGTGCCCGAGGGTGGCATGACCGCGCCGCTCAAACAGAGCCCACGTCAAGGGAAACCAAGGCAAGATCCATCCCCACTCTCTTCCATTTTGGCCAGGGCATTTGTCGTGTGTGTGCTTCTTCTTCCCCGTGTGTGTGAGAGCTAGACGGAGCTTCCCATAGAGAGCTTGGAGTTGTCCCTTAGAGAAACTCTTTATGCAAGAAGACTTGGATAGGGATCCTTCGTCCACCTCAAGGAAAAACTAAATAAGTTAGCCCTCTTCCAACTCCTTCTTTCATTTCTCTTCCTCTCTGGTTATCTCCTTCATCTCCGACCAACTTTCAGGAGGTATTTCTCTTCCTCTCTAGTTATCTCCTTCATCTCCGACCAACTTTCAGGAGGTCAAGTATAAGAGAGATTTCATCCTAGCTTGTAAAATGGAGCATCATCGAAACTTCGTCGGAGCTTGGAACTATGACGTAATATCGTCGGACTCTCCTTTTGGAGGAGAGTTTCTTCATTATTTAGATTAAAAGTGGAGCAGACCTCGTCAGAACTTCTTCATATCTCTTACGACGGGGAGAGCTTCTCTTAGAACAAGCGTCAGGCTTCAATCAATCACCGAAGCAGTCAAACTCCTTAAATTTTGCAATTTCTACTCTTGGGTTTTGGTTCTAGTTAGAGGATCTAGGTTAGGCTTGTTTGCGCCTAGAGGAAATCTTCGAGTATTATGACAGTCTGTGATCCTCTTGCAAATCCTTGAGCAAAACAACTCATTTTTCTTGTTTATACTAAAAAACTGAAATGTGAGGTTGTAGTAATTTCGTTGTTTGTATTTGTGGTTTCATCTGAGAAAACGAAATCGTTTCTTTGTCTTGGGGAATCCTCCTCATGAAAGACTCTCCACCTTGTCGTGCAAACAAAGGTGGACGTCATGTTACTTCGTGCAGTATAGCATTGGTACATCTCTTCATTGTTTGCTCGCTCTAGGTAACCCATACGATTGTTAGGACGAGCTTGTTTTTTGTCATTAAGCATGATCGAATCTCCATTATGTGCATGTGACCATACTCTCAAGGAGTGCCTTGGATGAATTTTAATAATGCATCGAAAGTTTCATTTTTGCATGTGTTATCGACATGGCGCCTGTCATGTCCGGCTTGATCGATTACACCTTTGGTTCAATTGATCGGCCTCCACTGGATCGATCAATTTGATTGACAAATTTCATCGGCTCATCTAATCGACCGACACCAGTCTAATCGTTTCTGCCAACCCCTTCCTCATTGAACAATAGCTTATGTCAACCCGATTAACTACACATCTCTATTCGAACAATTGGCCTTCACTGACTCGATCGACTCTTTTCATCGTCTTGTTCGATTGACTATCGTTTGTCTGATCGGTTTGAACGACTATTCCTCGACAATAGGCCGCTTATGTTTGGCCTGATTGACCTCATCTATTGATTCAAATGATCAGCCTCCATTAGTCGTATCAATTTGATCAGCTCTTCTCGTTGTCTCATCCGCTCGGCTGTCATCGACTAATCTGTTCAACTGAGCCATTTTCATCGATCGACGGCCTGCATCGTCCCAGTTGACCGCCTTCATCGACCAATTGATTAGCTACCATTTGTTTGATCATATCAACCAAGTCCGCTTGTATTCTACATCATTACATGCTTTTTCGTGTTACTTGTGTGATCACATCTCACACCACTCACCTTGTAGTGCTTTTGTAAGCATATGCCCTCATATGCTTGTGGTGGGTGCAAATGTCCCACTTTGGCATTACCTTTTGTGTCTATTTTATGAAGTCCTCAAGTCACGATGCACCAACCATATTGCAAGTTTGCACTTGCATACTAGCATCCTCACATAATTGATTGAATGAGAAAATTGCATGTCTTGCATTTGGGTTTGTGTTCTCACACATTTATCCCTCGCATTCACACATCACGTGAATGGATGGCTTGCCACCGAGCTGACTTTTCGTGCAATTCGCTCCAACAGGAATTGCATACTTTCACTCCCTATGGCGCCTCTCTGGATTGTCGTAGGCACCCGATGTGCAATAAGTTGGCAGGTAATTTGGTTCATATTTAAATACTTTATTGATAAAATTGCACTGTTGCGAAATGTATTTTTTTGTTTATTTTGCAAGCATCAGGGGAGTTAAGTGTTGATAGCAATAATTAACATTGAGCCAAGATGCGCATAATTGCTATTGGGCGCCTAAGTGCACAAAAATAATTCAACAGTTGGAGATGTTTAGACTTCCAGATTGTGGGATCATCGAGAAATGAATACTCATCATGGAAAGTAAGGGGGGGGAAGAATATAATAAGCAAGGAGATTCAATGTTGAAGAGGGTTGATGCTTTGTGGTTTCTACCTTGCTTGAGTTCCACTTTTCTTCTCTCAGGGCAGTGAAGAGAAACAACGTGTCAGCAGTAGAAGATAGGGAGTTGGAGAGATTTCTTACATGTCATCAACTATGCATTGTGAAGAAGAGAAATCCAAGTTGTTGTAATTTTGTAATATATGCTCTGTAATGCATGTGTAGTTTGAATTTCTTATTAGTTAGTATATTGTGCTGATGTTATAAGCATGCATAGTGAGTTGAATTTTTATTTTTCATTGGGACGGCTAAGTTAGATGGATTTAATTGAGAAGGTTGTTTAATTAAAATCAATCAATGTTGAAGATTAACTTTTTGAACTTCATTTATATTTCATTATGCCTAAGTGACGTTTTAAAATTTTGTGTGAATTATAAGTATTGGGAAAGACTATAGTAGAATCAGCTAGGATAATCACATGAACTTATATAATTAGGAATATATTCTGCAGGGAGATGCAAATGTTAGAGAAATATGCTATGATTGGGTTTGTAATAAGATTTATGGAAATAAACTTGTTTCTAATCAAACTTCATTATACCAACAAGAGAGGGTAAAGAAAATATTTGTTTCTATTTGTCACTGAGCTTTTCTACTTGCGATTATTAACTTCAAGAGATCCACCTAAACCATTTTAAGGAAGATCCATTATGTATTTGACTTTTTCAATTTATTTTTGTAATGTTAGGATTGTTTTTGTAGGATTTAAACCAAAACACTAATTCAAGCTAGGCTAAAATATGTATGCTAGAACTTTTCCTATTATGATTCATCTCTTCCCTATAGGATTGACATTATGGACTTGAATATCGGTACTACTTATACATCATGTGCACTTGCGTGATTAGCCCATGCTTTGCAACACTTGGAGCGTTTTGGCACCCCTATGGGTTGTTGTCTCCACGACAGGCCCAGCATCTGGGTGGCTGTCTCCACGGCACACCCACCCTTTGGTTCACTGTCTCCATGACACACACATTAGTCGAATCACTATCTCCATGACAAACCATCCCTGAAGTCACTGCTTCCACGACACACCCATCGGTCGGGTCACTATCTCCATGACACACCCATCCCTGGGGTCACTGCTTCCACGACACCCCCATCAGTTGGGTCATTATCTTCACAACACACTCATCACCTGGTTCACTGCCTACATGACACATCCATCCCTCAGGTTATTGCTTTTATGACACACTCATCGTCTACTGCCTCCACGACACACTTATCCTCTAGGTTACTCCCTCAATGACACACTCATCATCTTGATCATTAACTCCATGGCACACCCACCATTTGTGTATTTGCCTCTATGACACACCCACCCTTCAGAGTCGCTTCCACGTCACGCCCATTCTTTGAGTCACTGCCTTCACGACGCACTCATCCTCACTCGTGTTGTATGTTTTGCATGCATCATTCGACACTTGTCGGTGCGTTCTTCATCAGTGTACGCATTGTATATTATTAGTGACTATTTGCCATCTACTTTACATTTCACATGTGTATTTTTTTATCGTCTCTATGACGAAGCTGGCATGTTAGTTGAGCAACTCCCTATCAGTCATGACGTGGTAGCTAGTCTTGCCCGCAAGAATGTCTCGGTGGGCAATACTAGTTATTGCATTATGACTAGCACACATATGTTGTGCTAAGGTTTCAATGGGTCTAATAAGTGTCACTTAAGCTTTTCTTTCCCATTAACTATTTAAAAAATATAAAAAATTTGCATTGTTATTATATATGCATCATAATATTAAAATTTATTTTGAAACTACTTGCATGCTTAGCTTAGACAGTATGTGAGGTTAAATTTTCAAATGTCTTTCAAAACCTGCATATAGTGACACTTATTAGAATCCTTGGATCCTTAGGACTAGGCCAACGACGACTACCCAGTTAAAACATACGCCAATCTACTAAGATAACCCTGCACTCACTAAGAGGCTGGTTAGGACACTGTATTAGGTGATGTGCTAGGCTAAGCTAGGTAGTTTTTTATATATGTCCCAACTATAGTTATCTGCTGCTTTGGTTGCTCTAACCAAATATAACCTTTTGTGTTTTTGGAATTTTTGCATGTTTACTAATGGTAGTAAATTAGATCGATCTTCCTGCAAGAAATCAAGTTTGAAATACACACCTCATGTGTAATAGAGAGGAGTGACATAATGATTATTCTCTTTTCTGCATGCGCTAATTTGCCCCTCCATCTAGGCATGGCTCACATGCATTTCATGCTTGTTTGCTTTCTCATTCATGTTGTTTTCATGCAATTTGAGTATTCTTATTCCTTTCTTATGTACTTTTAGAGTCCCGAGGAGAGTTTTGCATTGGAAATAATGTTTGAGGCACCAGGCGGGCATAACCACGTGATAGGGACCAATAGCTAATTGCTCGTGACTCATATCTTAATTCTAAATCATATTGATGTATAGAATTATGACTAGATATGTAATTTAGTAGTGTCTGACCGCCTTTTTTAGTTTATGGGAAATTTCATTGACCCAGACACCCAGTGGCACTGACATCTTATCATTTAATATTTAACTTTATTTGTTATCTTTCTTGCATGCTTGTATGCTTCGATTAGATTCACCTTTTCTGGATTGTGTTATTGTCTGGGAATCCAGTGCATCGTTTATGTTCTCAAGGACCTAAAAGAAAAAAAAAATTCCACAAAATCCTAATAAATTTTAAGATTAATTAAAAATTATGATTAAAAGATTCAGGATGTCTAAATCCTGCTTTTACTTTGTTGCATGACATCCGAGCTGATTTTAAAATTGGTTGCAGGCATAACCATATCTCAAGTCATACTAATAAGTCATCCATATTAGGACTTTAATATATAACTACATCATTTTATGTGTTTTGATGAGAAGTGCTCTTGCTTCTCCAGCCCAACTAGCTCAACATAGATTTCTGCTTAGATAGTTGTCTAGTACGCTTGGGGTGTTAATGGCTTCCCCAACCCAGACAGGGAGTGAGTCATATTGTTGGGAGTGTTTCCATCTTTGTAGTTGAACCTTCTTTGATCTATATTTTCAGCAGCAAGTCCCACCTCTCGGAGCTCTAACTGATAGTCAAAGGATAGAGTTTCGTTCCTTTAATCTTAAGGCTATCGTGGTCCCCATGGAAGATGCAATTCACAGATTACTGCCCGAGAATCTCTGGAAGCGTTGGGTCGATTACCTTTGCGATCAGCAGACTTAGGGTTTTAGTGGGTAGGTATGGTGGCCATGTAGTGCTCCCGCCTGGCTACCTCCACCTGTTAGGAATTATTATTCATTTCCTTTGACTTCCCCTTTGAACATTGTCACTCTCTTTTGACACATCATTGATGCCATGTTGTAGGCATCAATTGCAGATATGTCGTAGCCCGTTCAGGTTATAGTGATTCGCCCTCTGCCCTTATGAACCGGTCTGGCCTTTGAAGCATGATGTGAATCCTATGCAATGACCCAATTATTTCATAAACCTCAGTCAACCGATAATCCATCATTCATATGAGATCATGAAAGACTCGCTCTCTGCTTGTATGAATTAGCGTGATATTTGATGCCATCAAAAAGTTCCCGTAAGATTACCGTTCTTTGTGCCCCTTTAGTAGTCATTATACAAGTGCAAGCAGAATTCCTTTTATCGAGTTTTCTTGTGCACCCTCTGAGGTGTAATTAATTAAAGAGATACATCCCTTTGAGGGCCCCTCTTAAACCTAGCACAAGCAAACAAACTTGAATCTCTGATTGTGGGTTTATTTCATATGTCTTATTCGCGATATGTTCTAATGCATTTTTTATCTGATCTTGTTTTGAGTGTATGCTCTTAGGCTATCAAACAAAGATTTCTTCACAAAAGTTCTCCACATGGTTTTTCTCGTTTGTCTTGATTGTCGTATATCACCTCCTTTCCAATACATTATTTTTTAGATCAGTCATATGTTCCAAAATATATATTTACTCAAAAAATGAAATTATACGCCGATAAAAAGGTTGACAACACCTTTAAGAAAATCAATAAAAGAGTAAAGCAATGAAAATAATGTATAGGTCGTATTTGTGTTGCTGCGTTGGTGTGGTGGCGGCGGCGTGTGTACATGTGAGTGGTGTTGATGGTGTGTTGATTGTGTGGTGACAGTGGTTCTTTGATGCGGTGGTGGGGATGTGTTGGGTTGGAGGTGGTGGCGGTAGTGTGTTGGTCACTACGATGTGGTAGTGGTTGGGTGGTATTGTGTAGGTGGTATGTTTGGTGGCTGTTAGGTTAGAAGTGGTGGCAGTGTGTTGGTCGTGACGATGTGGTGGTGATGTGTAGGTGTTATGCGTGGTGGTGTGGTGGCGGTGCCTGCGTGTGTGCATGGGTGTGGTGGCGATGGTGTGTTGATGGCGCAGCGGGGGTAATTTATTGGTGTGATAGATTAAAGCGGTGGTGGTTTTGTGCTGATTATGTGGTGGTGGTGCGTTGGGTTGGAGGTGGTGTTAGTGTGGGTGGTAGTGCGCTGGTCGTGACAATGCGGTGGTGGTGGTGGTTCTGATGATGTGATGGTAGTGATGTGCTAAGGCTGATGAGAGGTGGTGATGGTTGGTGGTTGGATCGGTTTGGTGATGCCATCATCGATAGTGATCAGACATGAAGAGTTTTGTTGGCAGAGAGATTATCTCTTAAAATTAATCATTTACATTTTAAATTCAATATTATGATAATATTAATCGTTATTCTAACAAATTTTTTAAATTTTGAATGTTGTGTTATTTACTCTTCAGCGACGCGTTAGTTTTTATTATGCAATATTCAAACTGGATATCTGTCGTGATATATAAAATGTGCAATTAGAATTAATTCAGTTATAAATAACACAATAGTACATGGGGCAAAATATGTAATTTTTTTTCATAAACAACTGCTGCTAAATAACTGCATGAAACAAACAGACAAATAACTAACCCGCAGTAGCTTTTCTATAACATTGTCTTGGCATGACTTCTATGTACCAGTTTTTTAACTTATGTTTCAAAAGTACTCAACATTTTTTTTCTTAGAGATTTACAAATTCTTACGTATTAATATGTCTAATACACAAAATTTGATAATTAGATTATACTACTTTTATGTAAAATATATATACACACGCGCGCTCTCACACACACACACACACACACACACACACAATTATACTACTTTTATGTAAAATATATATACACACACGCGCTCACACACACACAAAATATGTGTTTTAAGTTTAAGAAAAGAATAATTATGATAATCTTGAAGTGAAGATAAAAATTTGAGCGACATTATGTGAATATGAATATTTAAACGTTAATATATAAATACATAAAATTTTGTGGGATGTATGTAAATGCCTCCCGCGTCCCCCTTTTTTTTTTTAGTTCTCCATCTCCGTTTTTGCCGGATCATCTCTACGTGTGCCGATCACCATCCAGTTTCCGTTTCTTCCGCTATTATATCGCTGCCATTGGTTCTAACTACCCTATCTTCGTCGGGCCTTGATCGGACCTTGCTCGATTTAATATATTCCGACCTCCCTGATTCAGCCCCGTAACAGCCCGTAACCCTCTTCGTCTTTGATTTTGCGATTATCTTCGTGAATCAGGTACATATCGGTGCACGTTCTGCTGGCAGTCGAAAAAATTGATTCTTACCTTCTCATTGCTCTATTTCAAGGTCGATTTTCGTCTATGCCTAGCTCTGCTCTCGGCTGACCTCAACCACCAGCCGCGATCTCGCCGACTTCAACCGATTCGAACATTCAGATTACAACCGTTAAGATTTCCCGTCTCCGAACTTCCATCGCCACACCTTGCCGTTCAAGGGGTCGCTAATCTTGCAGCTCTTCCGTCGGCATTCTCGGAATTCAAGCGAGGTTCTTTAGTTTTTACTATTTTCTAGGAGCCTGCAACCTCTTTGTTGACATTATCTTTAATTATTCAAGTATTAGAAGAACTCCTAACCGTGTAAAAATGTATTGAAGAATAAATTTATGAATATTCTACTTCATGGTTCTTAAAATAAGAAAATTTGAAAGTTTCTCAGAACAATTTGTACTTAACACATCTACCAATTCAAGCCCACAAATCCATCTCCTCCAGTCACACGCTGGTATCTTCATTCCTTTTGCTGAATCTGATTGTCCTTTTTTAAAAGCAATCGAACCTAACTTGCTCTCTTCGATGAAACTAATCCTTAATATTGGATTTATGGAACGAATCAATAATTTACTTTTCTCGATTCCTCCAAATCACAACGCTATCATTCTAGTACTCCAATATGGATGGCCCTGACCTCTCTTGGCTTCATCGTCTTGAAAAAAATCAACTACCATTTTCTTCACAATAATTTACTAATGCACTTATTCGTAGGCTAGATTCGTCACAAATTCATGATTTGCAAGGAGAATTGTCTAAGCTTACTCAAGCATCTTCCGTCTATGATTATTTTAATTGATTTGAATATCTATCCAATCAAATTGTTGGTGTTTTTGAGTCTGTCATGCGAAGTAGTTTTGAATCAGGTTTACGACCCAACATTCATTGATTAATTTAAGGCTTTCAGCCAACTTATTTAACACAAGCCGCTAATATTTCTACATCAATGGAAGTTAATATTACAAAACCTTTTAAAAATCATTTTCACCATATCGAAATCATCTCCTGGCTTGTTATGGATAGTACCTCCAATTACCCTTCTTTCAACACATCAATAAACCTTTGATTCCTCTCAAGAAAATGACATCAACTGAAATGATAGATTGCTTGGAAAGAGGTTCTTGTTATAATTGTGATGAATGATCTCATCGCAATCACATCTGCACGCTAAGACGCATGCCCTCTTGCTGAACCCAACATTCAGAATCACTATAGGGATAGTGAACCAAGCTGTAGTTCTTCATACTCTCAAATATCTAATCAAGAACTTGAAGATGAAATCACTCCTGAAATTAATTATCATGTATTAGTGGTACAACATTTTCCATTCCTTCCGAATTCAAACTAAATTTGCAAATCATAACATTCAAATTTTTTGATGGTGGATTCACACATATTTTCATTCAAGAACAACTAAGATTTACAACTTAATGTTCATCCTTCCAAACACTTTCGGGTCATAGTTGGAAACAGTTAAGCATTAATATGATCTGGCTAATGTCCACAACTTCCAATTACCATGCTAGTCACTGTCTTTATAGCTAATTGTTATGCATTTGAAATTAAGAATGTTGATTTTATATCTGGTCTCTTATGGCTCGAGCTTCTTGGCAATATTATTATACATTATACAGAACTGATCATGGTATTTGATTGGAATGACCAAAACATTATGATACCGGAGGTAACCCAAATCACAAATAGAAACATAAATATTATTGCTGAAATTCAGACGGCTACAACCACGACTCTTGACAACAGGAAATAACAATAACAAACACAACGACACTAGGGCATAATAACAAATGACACAACACATAGACTCCAACTAGGGCTACGACAGCCGGTGGGTGCAGCCCTTCAAGTGACGATAGCAGGTTTTGGAGTGGAGGTGGGATATAGTAGTGGGGTGGCAACAACAAGGGTTGATTGTAGGATGAGTTGTAGTTGGAGCAAGTGGAGTGGAGAGGGCTGGAGAGGCCTACTTGGAGGAGGTAAGTTGGGCGTCTGCTTGGAGGAGGCAGGAAGGTAATGGGGCTGCTGAGAGGAGGCAAGAAAGCCTTAATGACAACAGGGAAGCTGCAGGTAGGCTTTGGTGGCTTTTGGAAGGAGGCAAGATGATTGTGTTGCTGCTTGGAGGATGTGGGAAGGCCTTAGGGGCAACAATGAAGATGCAGGTAGGCTTTGGCAGCTGTTGGGAGGAGGCTGAAAGGTCTTTGTGGGTGCTGGTGTTACGGAAGGAGGAACAGTGTAGGATGGTGGCTGGAATTAAAGGGTAACAATGGGGAAGGGTCGGGGGAAGGATAAATATCTTATCAGGCTCAAGCTATAGCCGAAGCACCACCTCAAAAGAGTTACAATCAAAGCATCTCCTCGTTGTCAGATACCCCAAAGGGGAAGAGCGCCTCAAAGGCAGCAATAAGAAATTTACACTTAGAATAATAAAAAACCTCCTTCCCAATCCTAGGCGAACATCTATAGATGAGGGAGAAATAGATAGACTAGGCAAGTAGGGGAATAAATAATAAATAAAGGAGGGGGAAGGAAAAGGGAGGAATTTGAAGTGAAGCTATTGTAGGAAGGGATGGATTTAGATAGGGAATCAAACAGGGAAGGGAATTAAATAAGAAAGGAAATTAAATTAAAATGAGGACCACAATTACCATAACAACTATGGTAACACGTCTGCGATAATTTAGTTGCTACAGTACCGAAGTCAGTAAGCTCCTGCGCCATTCTTCCTGGGTTGGGGAGCTTCGACTTCATCCGTTGAAGCTTTTAGGGCAGAAAAATTTTGGTAGGGTGGCTTGAGTAGGAGCGAATGCTAGGGAACTTTAGGATAGGACTAGTATTGTGCTAGCTTTGATACCAAATGATACCGAAGATAACACACACCACACATAAAAACAAAAATATCACTGCTAAAATTTTGACGATTACAACCATGACTTTTGAAAACAAGAAATAACAACGACAAACACAACGACACTAGGGCATAACAACAAAGAACACAACTAGGGCTACGACAGGCGGGGGGGGCGGGGTCGGAGCACTAGGGCATAACAACAAAGAACACAACTAGGGCTACGACAGGCGGTCGGGGCAGTCTCGAATATGACCACAACATGTTTTGGAGTGGAGGTGGGATACGGTAGTTGGTTGGCAACAACAAGCGCTGAGGGTAGGATGGGTTGTGGTTGGAGCAGGTGGAGTGGGGAGAGCTAGATAGGTCGGCTTGGAGGAGTCATGAAGGTTGAACGACTGCTGAGAGGAGACAAGAAGGTAGTGAGGATGCTGGGAGGAGGTAGGAAGGCCTTAGCCGCAACAAGGAAGTTGCATGTAGTGTTTGGCGGCTGCTGGAAGGAGGAAAGAAAGTTGTATTGTTGCTGGGAGGAGGTTGGAAGGCCTGAGCGACAACAGGGGAGCTGCAGGTAGGATTTGACAACTATTGGGAGGAGGTAGAAAGGTCCTTGCGGGTGCTACTGTTACAGGAGGAGGAATGGGATGGTGGATGGATTATGAGAAGGGGAACAACTAGGTAGGGTTTAGGGAAGGATAAATATCTCGTTGGGGTTGAGCTACAGTCGGAGCACCACTCAAACTCTTAGAGACAATCATGACTTCAAACAAGTCACAACTGGGGCACCTCTTTGCTGTCAGTTATAATTCCCGGAGGGGAAGTGCGCTTAAAAGGCAACAATCAGAAATCTGCACTCAAAATAATCAAAAACATCCTTACCCATCCTTGGCAGACAACAACATCTATAAATAAAGGGAAAATAGATAGACTAGGCAAGTAGGAGGATAGTTAATAAATAAAGAGGGGGAAGGAAAAGAAAGGAATTTGAAGTGAGGCTTTTGTAGGAAGGGATGGTTTTTGATAGAAAATCAAATAGGAAAGGGAACTAAATCAGAAAGGGAACCACAATTATTGCAACAACTATAATAATGTGTTCTTAGTACTGTGGCTGCTGCAATACCGCTGTCGGTAAGCTCCTGCGTCGCATTATTATACATCGATTGTAATCTTTCGGCACCTAATTTTGACTTCTCACTACAATTTTCAGAAGCTCAATTTTAATTTGTACATGAAAAATTGATTTGTTCAATTTCATTCTATTGAGGATTCTCCACTCAAAGGCTTTTTGACTGCATGTTCATGTATTTTCTACATCGACTACTTCAACACCACATCATGATATCGAACATTCTATTACATTGTAACGAAATTCCAAACTTGATAATGTTAAATCTTGTCATATTTCACATTTTTAGAATTTGAAATCGAAAATTTAATTCAAAAAATGCTAGATTATGGGATTATTCGTTTGAGTCATGACTCATTTTCTTCCCTAGACTTAATAGTAAAAAAATAATAAACTTGTTGTTTTTGCATAGATTATCGAGTTTTAAATCAGGTTATCATACTGCATTGCCTTATTATACATATGGTTGATAAATTTTAGATGAACTATTTGATATACAACATACTTGAAATTAGGCCTACGTGCTGGTTTTCATAAAATAAGTACGAATGAAACATACATTCCTAAAATTGTATTTCACATTCATCATGGCTATTATTAGTTTCTTGTTATGTCTTTTGGACTATCTAACGCCCCAATTACTCTTCAAGAAACTATGAATATAATTCTTAGGCCTTAATTACATCATTTTGTGCTGATCTTCTTTGATGACATATTTGTTTATCGCAAATCCCTTCAAGAGCATATTAATCAATTATAGATTGTTTTAGATCGTCTTAGAACAAATTAATTTTTTTGCTAAATTTTAAAAATGTGTTTTTGATATTGTACAATTGAATATTTAGAACATCTTGTTAAACCCATGTTGACTTCAAACTCTCCAAAATCATTGCTATTTTCATTGTGATCATCTGCTCCAATTTTAAAAAATCTACGATCTTTTCTACGAGTATCTGACTATCAAGGATGCTTCATTTACAATGATACCACTATTGCCTCTCCGTTGACTAATCTTCTCAAAATGGATGTTTATTGTTGGAATGATCAATTTGAAAATGCATTTAACCTTTGAAACAAGCTTTTATTTCTGCTCATGTTCCGCATCAGCAAAAAATTTTCAAATGATTTATAATTACGACTGACACTTTAGGCGGAGGCATTGGAGCTATTTTAATACAAAAGTCACACCCATATAAATTTTCAGCAAAAAATTATGTTTGCGAATGTAGCTCGCTTCTGCTTGTGTTCACTAACCATATGCTATGACATAAATAGTTATAAATGGTGTCAATACCTTTTATGTGAAAGTTTTTGATATGCCTTAACCTAAAAAATATTAAATATCTAAAGCAATAAGTAGTCTAGACACTAGAAAAACAATGTTTTTTTTGTCAATATTCTAGGAGTTAATTTTGATATTGCATACAATCCATACACTACTAATTAAGTTATCGACGACACATTGTTTTCAAGAGAAGAGGAAATTTCACCTGTAAATCTTACAATAAAATCTATCATTGTTAGAAGCACTTTGAACACAAACAAATGATTTGCCAAATTTATAAATGTGTCTGCCAACATCCATGCTGATTCTCTTAAATGTTTTGTTTATAGTGTCAAGGACGATTTGATTCTATGTAAAGGCTGAGTTATTTTATTAGTATTTTCAAGCAAAAAAAAATATTACAATAACTTTTTCTTGGGTAGGTGAGCCTCGAACACGGGGCCTTTCAATGCGGGAGGAAAGGCCCAATCACCATGCCACCATCTCTTCCATACAATGAATAAATTTTATTTCACTTCTATAGCAGGACATGATGGTTTTTAATGAACCCCGTCTCAATTTTTTTACAATTTTATTGGCACAAAATAAAAGGGGATGCTAAATTTTATGTATTTCAACTTAGATAGTGCACTCATAAAATGTAAGGATTCAACATATATTAATTTCTAATTCTTAATATTCTATAATAAAAATATATATTCAACCAAAGTTGTTTAACTCATAATAGTTGATAAATTTTTTTAAAATATTCTTCTTAAATTAAATGAGACTAATCAAATAGTTTATTTATAAATGACGAATATTAGCTGGAGATAGAAAATGCAATAATATTTTGTATTAGTTATGATTTGAAAATTATATTATGAAGAGAAAATAATGTATTTTTTGAATAAAATTATATATTTTTTAGTTCTCTTTTGAGATTGAAGGATTTATGTTTGTAGAATTTTAAAATATTATATTGAGATAATGTTGCATTTGATCATTTATTTCTACTTTGGTATTTTGAATTTTTGAGCCGGGTCATGATAACTATAATGACATACACAATGATGATTAGATTTGAAAGACATGACGGACAATACATAAAATATCTAATAACCCATTATAAGTATAAAAATAAATCTCTTAATGAACAATGATGTGTTTATCTTCTAATAAATAATAATTACTTATCTCAATGTGCACATTATGGATGAGAGAGGAGTGTGACACTTTAGTTCTTACATTCTTAAATAATATTTATTAGCGTGATATATATCAAAACATATACATAAAAATGCACGTTATGTTTTAGATGCATAATATGTTGATATTAATGATATTTTTATGCGACTTAAAGACACAATTTATATACAAGTAAATATAGCTTATATATTTGATTTATAAATTTATAAAAATACCTTATATTTATGTAAATTCTCCTCTATTAAATGCAATTTAAATCTCTCTCCCTCCCGCTAGCTACTTTTCCTCCATCTCTTCTATTTAACCGTCACCTCCTTTATTTGTCCTCCGCTTCTAGCCCCTTTGTCCTTTGTCGCCCCTCCATCTGCTCTTTTCTGCCCCTTCATCCAATCTACTTCATCCCGCATAATAAAATTTCTTATTTAGAGCAGACTTCACCACATCCACGCCATCGCCTGTGAGTTCTCTAGTATCTTCTTCTCTCCTTTCTTGCCCTAATTCTCCCTGCTTGTTGCTTACCCCATATATCCGTTACGTGGATTGAGATCACATGGAGCTCTGGATAGTAAACTGTGTTGACCATTTTCACCCATTAACCATCAGAAAAGATAAGTTGCATTAATTTCCATGCGCAGCTTTCTTCCTGATTTCACTCCCTCCCTCTTTACTCTTTATCAACAAATACGGTTTATCTTGGGATTTTCTTGTCTTCATTTTGCTTGAAAGGAAATTGTTTTCCAGGTCGACATTTATTATAAACTATATTATCTTATTTGTCTACCCACCCAAATTTGTGCCCCAAAAAATTTGATTTCTTTGTAATCTATATGAATACATTTGCAAATCTTGATTTTTTACACTTGTTCAAAATTTTTGTTTTGTGAAATCTTATGAAGTCATTTTTACTAATTATTTAGAGTCTTATTACTTACTAGAATGTTTTCAAGGATGCTTGGTAGTATTTCTGCTGATCATTTGTCTACGCGTCCTTCAATAGTCTTGCCCCCTAGTTATCTGAAGTATAGAAACACAAATGAATGATCTCATGATCATACCAAGATAATGGATAAGTTACTTTTGGCGTATGTGCAGGCTAGCTTTGCTGGGATGGAAAAGAAGAAGGCAGATGAATTTGAGCCTGGACAAATTTCTAATTTGAGGCATGTTGATAGATTTGGGTTTGTAATACAGGACCAGGGTAACTCCCTTGAAGCTAAAAACATTTCCACCAATGAAATGGAGAGGTGTGCTTTGTACCTTTTCAATTCTTCATTCACTTTTTTCAGTAATTTACAATGATTGGTAGATCTCATTAACCACGGTGAAATGTAAAACAACTAGATTTGGATTAATACTGATTATTTTCTCAGCATTTACCTTCATTTTAGGATGATTATTATACATGGATTTAATGGCTAATTATTTGGTTTATGCACAAATAACAAATATATATATGAGATAATTGAGAATTTGACTTAGGAATGAATTGGTATTCAAAATCATTAAAGAAGAATTTAACAAAATATAGTAATCCTCTTTGAAAGTTAAAAGAAAATTAAAAAAAAAAACTAAAGAAAAAGAAAATTTGAAGGAAAAGCTTGATGTTGATCTTAAATTTTAAAATTTGTACCAATCCCCTTTTCTAAAAGTTGAATAATCAATGATTTTATTAACTATAAATTCAAAATATCGTATTCAAAGAGATACTAATAGAATTAACATTAATTAATTGATTAATCAAAATGAATTTTATATATATACATATACACACACACATATATATATATATATATATATTCTTTTTGATGGGTTTCAAAATTCTGAAATGGAAGCACTCGATCATGTCATAGCGCTATAAGGTTTATAGGTCTAACATGCTGGATGTGTGAGATTACTAAAAATATTTATACTCATAAATTTTGTTTGCAGAGTCCTGTTAAGTTTTCAGAGTTCTTATTAATGTTATTTTTTTATATTTCCAAGATTTAAATAATATATTACATGCTACCAATTTTTATTTACTTAGGATCAAATTAACGAATTGTTCAATAAATTTAAAATATTTTTACAATTTTGAATAAAAAGTATCTTATTTTGTTTTAACCTATGCAATATATGCTAAGGGCCATGGAGATAGATGCTTCAATAAATTTGTAATTAACAAAATAAAGTGACTCTAGGCATAGTCTTACAATCTTCAATAGCTTGATTTCTTCTTTTTTAACATTTTGATCGTTGGATATATTTTCTATGTTTGAGCAAATCATCTATCAAGATATGTGTATCCTTTTAATCTTGTGATCACTTCATGAAAACTAGTATTTATCATATATTTATAATCATTAAAGCGAGCTTACAATCTTCTCGTGCTTATAGCGTCGACAATAATCCTCTTTTAGATAATACCAAGCCTATACCATCTAAGAATTGATGTATAAAAGGACATTTTTTTAATCACAGAAATGGGCAAAAGGGTATTTCAGGAGGGGCAAAAAATCAAAGTGCCCTCCCATATTAGTAAAAATTTAATTGCCTGCCCTTGACCCTTTCTAGGTCCGCCTCTGTATCTAGCAGCACTTTGTTCTTTTTAATTGAGATTCTTTAGGATTTGCTTGGAAATTAGCACAAATATATACATAAAACATAATATTTAGTTAACTATTGGTAACTTATAATGTGATTTTTTTTTTCTTCTATACAAGTCTAGCATTTCATTTAAATTGTTTATATACTTTGTTTGACAATTGAAGGTGCTACTCTCTTATTCTTCACTCGAAGCTCTAAGAATCAATTGAGTTCCTTTGTCATATTTGTTTCAATTTCTTCACTCATTTTATTTGAGAACCCGTGACTCAAAGGTTTATTAATTTTTCCTCATAAAATATTATTATATACTTGAACAACTATTATACCATCATCATTATTCTTAATAAAGAAGTTATTAACTTCTCTCCCCTTGTTAAAACCCTTCAGTACTTTTGAGGATTTAATACAAACTACTTTGAGCATTTAGTTCTTTACATCCTTTGATGATATAATATCTACAATGGTCATCGTAGCATTTGTTTTGTTTGTTATTCTTTTATTATCTGTTTCTTCCTATGATTTGCTTTTATTCAAATGAATATGCAATTTAATTAATTTCTATTAAGATTTTTTTCGTAAGTTAATAGCTTCTTCTGCAAGCAATCATTTTTTCTGAAAACTGTTTTGCTAACATCATGCAACAAATGTTCTTTATATTATATTTTCCAATTTTCAGTCTCTGTGAATAATACTTCTTCATCATATCATTATTTAACACTACATAGCCTCAAATTTCTTTTCAAGGAAGAAAGAAGTACTTAAAATTGGTTGAATATGATAGCTATTGGGAAGCTTTTAGGATATATTTCCAGACATTTAGCTGTTAGAATATTTCTATATTTATGCCGTTAATTATTTCACGAGGGTTATCAAGTAATTAACCATTAGAAATATTTTAGACTTTTAGTAGTAATTTATTTTTTTATTTTTCTTATTTTTGTATATACTTTAAATAGCTTCTTATGGTTTGCAAAAACCTAATGAGAATGAAGGTAAAATTTCTACGGCCCATATTTGTCAGACTGCTTAGTTTAGATAATGGGGAATTTTAACATTTATAACTAGAGGATTCATTGTATTGTTCTTTTTCTTTTTATTTTCTTATGTTTTCGTAAGTTTCAATTGAACCTACAATTCTGCCATTTCTCTGCATCTTTTAATGGTTTTTCGTAAGTTTCAATTGAATCTACAATTCTGCCATTTCTCTGCATCTTTTAATGGTTGATAGCTTCTTTACACAATCTCAGTTTCCAGCAATAGTTAGTTTGAGATTACTATTTTTTAGCAAACGCCTTTAATTATTTTGTTCACGTAGTGCTCCTAATAAACAATATATCTTTATCTATATTATATAACATTATAACAGTGTAACAATAAAATTTCTTTCAGGGAGGAAAGGAGGATTCGAAAATGGAGGAAGATGATAGGTATAGGTGGAGGTGATTGGAAGCATTTTGTCAGAAGGAAACCTCACGTAGTTAAAAGGCGTATACGAAAGGGTATTCCTGATTGCTTGAGAGGACTTGTTTGGCAGTTGATTTCTGGAAGCAGGGGTCTTTTGCTAATGAATCAGGGAGTTTATGAGGTTTTCAAATGGTTTTATACCTTCAATAGAATTGATGTTATTCTTGATGATAGTGAACTCTTGAATTTGGATTCTCAAAACATATGATATTACCTTCACTTTTGAAATCGAGGAATCACACCGTGATGACTTAAGATATATAACTTAATTAAAATTGTTTTGGTTGCTTCAAACAATTATTCAAGAATTTATGGATATCATGTTACAAGAAAGAGCAAATGCGGCAATTTTGCTTTATGATCTTTGTACTTAAATTCACTGACATAAGATTGTTTTTGGACTTTCGATGTAATCAACATCAATATTCTTGTTTCTTGAACAATTTCTTATGTCCATGTAACTAGCATACTTTTTTTTTAGTTGCCATATGTACTGCTCTTAGTTTTTAGTTAACATTTTTTTATTAGTTTCTAAGTATATGATGTCTCCAATAGTTAAAGATTGATATACTTTAGACTTATAGATGAGCGACTTTTCTTCTACGATTCAAGCAAAATCAAGTTGAATATTGGAAGAGTTTTTGTCATCCTTAACCTTTTTTGTCATTATTATTTTACTTTCTTTCAAAATGTTATTTTTATTGATACTCTGATACCAATCAGAGCCAAATTTTCACATAACTTAATGCAAAATAATATATTTTATTCCGTCGATATCAAAACAAAGCAACTCTAAATGCATAAAGATAAGCACATACAATTCGAGAGGTAGGCGATCTCTCCCAAATCCTAAAAACCTAAGACTCAAGACCACAATCTCATGCATAACCCTAACCCTCTACACCTAAGACTGAAGACCACAATCTCATGCATAACCCTAACCCTCTATATATTAACTCTATTTATACCCCACAATAATTACTAAAAAAAGCTAAATTGCCTTTATGCACATGCGTAATAATACGCTTTTTCAAATAAGATACATTATCCTCAAGGCAGGAAAAGAGATGGCGCTGGATCAAGTCGTTTGACTCGCACATGGCGTCCTCATATGAAAACTTTTTTATTCAATCATAAATTCATAGCGACCTTCATGAGTTTGAAATGCAATTTTGTACACATCCTTTGACCACAATCAATGGTATCCTAATTTTATGTCAATCTTTGATAATACCACAACCCCAAACTCTCATCTAGTAGCTCATCGATCGCCGAATCTTTATCAAATACGTTTCACATGTCTCTTTCATGGTATGCAACTCGATCTAGAATCCCAGCTCTGCATCCTAAATTGCCCTTACCTTAGTCTCGAGCTTTACCAAAATTTTGCACAAACTGGGGTCACCGCGAAGTACCCCAATCTTGTCTCCCTTCTAAGTATTCTCTAGTCTCTCCCATGCTTTTTCTCCACATGTCCCCATTCTCATCATTACTCTTGAATTGTCTTCCTCTCGAAAGGTTGCAAGAACAAAAGACAATAGTGTAGTTGGATGCAACCCTCTGTCGGTATCTCACCCACCATTGTTCCTTTTTCATGATCGGAATACTTCAAATCAATCTTCTCCAATCTCAAATGACACGTCTTCCCGTTTCGCTTGTTGTCACCCATTCCAAACCTCAAGATGTCGTGCAATTCACTCTAGGTGCTATCGTTCGAATCTGCTCCCGACTCTTCACTGAATCCCACATGTTTTCATTCGTTCTAGTAGTCTGTATGTTGTGCTATTCCTTCCAAGTTCTTTTGCTCGAGTCTACTCCCAATTTATTCACTCAATCCTATGGCTCTCGATAGTTCTAGAACAGTGATGTTGCTCTGATGTCTTGTGAATCCTTCTGATTGATGCAACTCGTGTCTGCTCTTGATTCCTTTGCTCGATCTCATGACTCTAGATCTGACTAAGGCAGTGATGCTGCCCTGATGCCTTGCAAATCCATTTATTGTCGCTCGCATCCGCTCCAGACGCCATCACTCTATGGGCTGAGCCAGTTTTATGTGAAACTCTTTAATATTTTTCATCATTTCTTCTAGAGCTGTGAATCTCCCCTTCATGAAAAAAAAATCGTCCATCCAAAGAAGAGAAAAGCTTCTCTATTTCCGACTTAATTTGACTCACCTCTTCCTCCAATTTCTTCTCTAAAGCATCTATTTTTTTGGATGCCATTATTCTCTAGGCAATTTTAGATTCTGCATGCTTTAATCTCGTTGTTGGCTTCCTAGGTAGCTTAGACCGTAACTGTACTGTGAGGTCTTAAGTCACAATCCCATCCTTGGCATCTCATATCACCCAATTCTCGATTGTATCAGTCAAGAATGACTGCAATCCTGTCATTTGCTTTCTCGCTTGTTCATAATCATGCTGTATCACAAGTTGCGAGCATACACGCCGTGATTCAGGCGTTTGCACTCAGCTAGCTCGGTTGAATCTCTACCATTTCCTTCGTTGTGCCCCCGTCTATTCGCGACTAAATCGCGAACTGCGATCCATTTGTTGGTCATGATCTTGTCGTTTACTTCCCGCAATTCTTTAATTGCTTTTCAACTTGCTCGATCGCGACGGTGATTGCGAGAATCCCTTGAATCAGATGCCCTTATACCAATATAATACAAACTGGAGTTGATTTTTCACAAAAATTATGACACAAGTAATATATTTTATTACGTGATATCAAATCAAAACAAAACAACTCCAAATACATAAAAGATAAGCCTTTTAATTCGAGAGGTATGCGACCTCTCACAAACCCTGAACGTAAGACTTAAGACCATAATCTCATGCATAACCCTAACCCTAAATATATTAGCCCTATTTATACCCCACAACAATAACCAATGAAAGACTAAATTGTCCTTAGGCACTTGGGTAACATACTCCTTTCTTTTATTAAGAAAGTGCGAAGAAACCAACAAGTCGGACTATGAATTTAGCCTGATGATCGTTAATCAAAACCCTATTTGAGAGAAAAAAGACACCATGATGTTGAGGAGAAACATGCATAATAAAGAGGTGAAGGTCAATGTTTTATATTAGAAGTTTCTAGTAATGAAAAGTAACTGATAATTTGTGATTGAATATCAAACAAGATGCAATAATTTTGAAGTGAAGGTTGATTTGCTAAATTTTGAGATACATCGGGATCCAAATGATTTCATTGAGTAACCATGACTATTGAAATGAATTTTTGAGTATAATAATGTTCTATAGTATAATAAAGTAAAATTGGCATCCATCAAGCTCAACAAGAATGCGTCATTGTGGTGGGGAAATATGAAATGTTTTCTACAACGTAAAGAGTAGAGTCACCACTTGCCCTAAGATGAAAAGTGAAATATAACACAAATATCTTTCCTCACATTACCAACATGTTGTGTTCCTAAAATTCCATAACCTGTACCAGTGAGCTTCTTCCGCAATGAAGCACACGACTAAATTTGACTAACTTATGTTGAAATATAAGTTAAGAGGAATTAGAGAAGCATATAGTGACAATGTATCTAGGAGGATTCAAACTTTCTTTCAATAATATGGTGCAATTGTATTTTTATTGGTCCCTACATGTGCATACCCTAACATTGAAGTTGGAGAAGCAAGATCGTCAGGAGGGGACCATCACACTTAACAACCAATGCTCAACTTTACGATCAAGCAGTAAGAGCACGTCCAATAGAGCACCCTAGTTGGCCCCTTACAAGGAGAAATATGGTCAAGGTGGAGTAAAGGTAGGCGTCACCTAGACTCCCAAATCCTTCTCAACAGGAAGTGTGTCAAGTGTCATGATTTATGACCCTTTGAGTCTACTTGTCTAAACAAGAGGGTATTTCCATCATTGGTAAGTAGTTAGTAATGAAGGAAATGTACAATAACATAGTTGACAAGGTAGAAAGTGAGCATGCAAATGAAGAGTAGCAACTTCCAACCAATAAAAGAGAAATTCTTGTGATACAACAATCCATTTAGGCCAAGCCCACGAGAGAGCAGTAATGTCTCCATCGTTACGTCTTTCGTATCTGTTGAATTGCGAAGAAAATGTGTGCAACCTTATCATAGACAAAGACAATTGTTAAAATGCGGTGTCTGCCCAAATGATAGGCAGGTTGCTCTTTGATACAAGAACCATACTCAATTTTATTTCCCATCTTGGTTGAAGAAAGAGAATGAGATCACAATTAACATGAGATGCCCGTGAATTTCTCTATTGGAGACAAATCCAGGAGTACATGTAGTGTGAAATGATATTTATAAATGTTTGTCACATCTTATTAGTCCGTACTTAGTATGACCAATGCACATGTCATGACGGCTACAAGAACACATATTCCTTCATTAAGGACGTGAAACATATCATATTCTTATCTTGGAAGGAGTTTGATTTTTGCATGTGACAATTGGAGTGGCATGCCACATCTCTCTCAGAGGAATGACCCAACTAAATAGCTACTATGGAAGCATGCATTGACATTGTAAAGGCGAAAGAAAGACTCATTCTTTTACTCCAAATTGTATCAATTAGATCAGAAGTAAATAATTGGGCACTGGCCTTTGACATGCATGTGCCAGATTTAATGGATTAGAAGAAACTAGTGTCACATGAGATGCTGCATAAGTATTTTGGTAAGGATCCATCCTAAAGATGGACCGCTTATGTAGTTGAGACGATTCTTGAACTAATGCATGAACTCTGTGTGTAGTTTACAAATAGTATCAACATATTGGTTTCTTCAACTATTCCAAAAGGTAAAGATGTTTCTTCTCTGCATTTATTGAGGTTGCTTTCATGTTTGCTATTACCACTGCACATGATTTTAGCTCAACCCGAGAGATCTTGCATTGCTCTGTCAAAAGGTTGAGAACCTTCTTGTCGAGGAACGCTGTGTGGTCATGAATCAATGATTTATTATGGTGAAGCCAACAAATTTCTTGCAATGGTTTGCTTGTCTATAGAGGGACTAGTCTCAATTCCTACTCACATACACGTTTGGGGCATTGTTTCTAGAAAACAATGTTGATGGTACAAGCTTTGGAATTGTATGAATAGGTAATTTCATGAGTTGGAAGGTGACAA